ATGGTAGATCGCGCTCTGAAAATTGTTGCGTGTTCTGCAAACCATCGAAAAAAAGTGTTGCAACCTCAGTGTCCGCGATTGTACATATAGAAATATGTAAAAAAAGACGTGTATATTACAGTAATATATTATTGCAGTAATATATTATTGATATATTTTTGATATAGAAATGATATGTTCAAAGTTGCTGAGATAGAGCCATACCACTACATTATATTTATCGTTACACATTATATGTAACATTTCTGATACTCGTATAATATTAAATATATCTAATTGTAAGTTACATGTGTAGTTTTCTGTAGGTACATACAAATAATTTATCGAAAATAAATAATTTTGGACATATTGCATTTGCCTTACAGCCTCCTTAATTAAACAACCACTTTTCTTCCGATTTTGTAGGAAATCCCATTTGCTACAGAACGAAACGGGAAGTGGAGATAGCATCGACCAACTGGACCGCCTTAGCCGACGAATGGATCGCAGCGAAAGCCAGAGCTGCCGAGAAGATGGACGTCGCTTTACTGCCATTCAATGAGAGATTCCGAGAACTACCGCCTACAGCGGAAACCTTTATCGTTAATGGCACGAGCCCGGAACAGTTGGAACGAGTAAGGGAATTTCTTCCATTCAGGCACAGCCGTTAATGCACAGCCATTCCATGCACGCATATATAATAATCTTGCGAAAATACAGTTTGTCCGAAAGTGTCATCTGCATTCCTACGATTGCATTTCATCGATCTGGCTTTTTTCTCGACTTTTTTTCTCCTTTTTTTGTCTTTCTGTTTCTCGTCTGACATCCGACGGGAGACACGACAATGTCGTCGCGACTCTTACTTCAGTGCCAAAATACTTTCACTAAAGCGATCTCCGACAAATACCGTAGCGGAGGCAAGTATGTATCTTCTATTCTTCCTATTCGTATCACGCATACAGTGCATAAAACAGTGTCAATGACTTTCACTCGTGAAAGTTGCGCGCGATCATTGATACCATTCGTCATTGCTTCCGTAAAAGAAAATGGCTAAGTTTAGAAAAAGCAGCTTTGCAATTGTTGTAAGATTCTTTAATATGATAGTTCTTACCCTTAGTTCCTCATGGATCTATAAATGTATAAATCAATCATATTAAAGAATCTTACAACAGTTGCGATGCTGCTTTTTCGCAGCCAATGCCGGCAAGTATTTATATGCGAACTTCCTTTGATCTTGAAAGAGGTGCATTCTCGATTATCTCAAGATTGCGATCGCGTCATGCGATTGACGCGACGACGCGACGCCTAAGAAGCCACATGGGGAAACTTGTTCTAATTCGATCTATTTTACGTTGTGAAACGATATAACATCGTGGATGCACGCTGATTAATTTTCAACTCGTGTCCATACATTTGATTACAGTTAAATTATTCACGGATGTTATGGGATATCGAAACGGTTCAACCAAACGGACACCTATCTGGATTTGTGGACAAAGCTCTTAAGCTGCTAGATTTAAGACAAGTGATGATGGAGGTCGAAACCTCTGTTATGTCCAAGGTCTCTTGTACTGCTTGTAAAGTCGGCGCTGGTTTGCTGCAGCACTACATAAAGAACGGCAAGAATGACGAGGAGATCATGGCTAGCATTTATCAGTTCTGCGTATCGCTCAACATACAGAGTCCCCGAGTTTGTCACGGAGTAACCATGCTCTTTGGGGTAAAGCCTGAATATACAAGTATAGGGTGAGGCATTGTAACTAACTTATACATCTCGAAAAACTTAAATTGTAAAAAAATGACAATAAAAGGCAAATGAGAGTAAGGCGCGGTAATTGGTGCGCAATAATCAATTATAAAACAATATGTGGTAATATCTTACATAGACGTATTTGAAAAAAAAACCTATGTTAGCAATCGAACGTTTCGGCCAACATTTAGGGCCATCCTCAGCGCAATATATAAGTTCAGAACAAAACAGCGTAGAGATTTCCTTGTAAACTCACATCAGCTACAGATCGAGTAACAGCTCTGATGTAAGTTTATATCCATTCAATTTGGTACCATGTCAAAGATGAAATGTAAAATTACATATCCTGTAAGTAAGAATGCAAGAAAAACACCAAATATAACAATAATTGATCGTATTAAATTACTAAATGTAAAATTAAATTATGAAGATGTTGTTATGAAAGTCAGAATCGTTATCAACATAGGTTTTTTTTCAAATACATCTAATATGTAAGATATTACCACATATCGTTTTATAATTGATTATTGCGCACCAATTACCGTGCCTTATTCTCATTTGCCTTTTATTGTCATTTTTTGAAATTTGAGAGTTATTAATAAGTTTTTCATCTTAAATTGTAAGTTGTATGAAAAATTATTATATAAAAAAGTTGCATAAATTCGAAGAAATCATTACATAGTGTATAAACTATACTGATTCTAACTCACGGATACAGCAACTAGCAGGTGGCGCTCGTGTCATAATGAGTGTAGAGACCCTTTACTAGAGATTGGCCATCTGTCCAATAAATGGCGGCGATAAATCGATAAATCGATTCCATTGATTGTTGTCGATTTCATTTGTGCCATTTGTGGTCGTTATGTCGTTATACTTGTCATGTCAAACAATACGTGTCAGTTGGAGAAATAGCTTGTAAGTACATACTGACTGAATTTAAGTATTAAAATAGAACGGATTGTTATTTATATAGGGGGTACTTTCCAATTGCTTAACACATCTTGACACAAACGTACTTTCCTTATATATTTGTATCATTCTTGATTATAATTAATTGATTCTCTATATTAATAATATTATTATTAATATATAATTTTATATTATTTCATTTATGATTCTTCAGGAGATACATCATTACTTCACTCATTCATACACACGCGCGCGCGCGCGCGCGCGCGCACACACACACACACACACACACCCATACACACAGTTTTTGTACATCATTAATTCATTAATACCACTATAAATTCGGAATGCAAGCGTATTTCAATTCAAGGGAGTTTATTAAAAAAAGGGATTTCTGTTAAAAAATTGTAAGTAAAAGGAATAGTGTTTTTTTATATTATGATCTCTTGGATACGATAAAGATATTAAAAAAAGTTCGTAGCGTTTGAGCAACACTTTGAAAATTAAGCAAGAATATTGAAATTTATGTTAATACATCACATTTGCGCTTAATTTTCAAGATGTTCTCTATCCGCCTAGAATTTTTTGATAACATTATATTCAAAAAGTCAAAATCTATAAAAAAAAACACTATTCCTTTCGCTTATACTTTTTTAGGCAGAAATCAACTCCTTTTCGCGCTCAGCTGAACAGCGTTCCTTATTGGCGCCGCCATTAGTTGGGCAGAAGTCATATGCACCAATCAGCAGAAGTCCTAAATGGCCAGTCTCTAGTAAAGAATCTCTAAATGAGTGTTAAAATATAAAAAGAGTAGCGCCAATGTGTCTAATGCTGATTGGCTTCTCCATTTATAGAACAACTGTTAGTTAGAAGAAGACAATGTTAGAAAAAGAAGAGGTTAAGACTTTTTTTATTAGGACTAGAAGAGGAATTGCGTCATAAATATTTGCTGGAAATTGCGACTTCCGGCTAACTGGCGCCACTCTCTTTATACCCATTCTAATGAGTCATAGACATTGAAGTTCATTCGAGGATTAAGGGGAGGAGGCAAGTGCGTTGCTCGAAGTCTTCATGAAGGGAGTTTTGTTCTTTCTCTCTCTATCTATTGCGTTCTATCTGCATTCTGTTACGGTCTTATACTTTTATTCGCGTTCTCTCTCCCACCCATTGCGGTCCTATATACTTACCATCTTATTCTCTCTCCGCTCCCTCCCCCTCCCTCTCCCCTGCCTTCATCCCTTTCCCCTCTCTTCCTCCCCCTTCCTCCCTCCTTTGTTGTATTTTCTCTTATGTTCTCTTTTTTTTCACGCGATTTTATTAAATAAATATGATATTTATTTTTACGTTTTTTTTAACGATACAACTTAAAATCGTTGTCTTTGCGTTGTTTTTTCTTTGGGTATGATAAGAAGTTAGCACCCCAACTACAGTACTCAGGAGTTCTGATTAAAGTTCCCGTTTCTTTTTGACGAGACAAAGAGCTCTATATAATTTATAACAAAAGTTCCGCGGTGCTAACTTCTTATCGAAAATCGAGCTCCAATAGTTCTGAGCGGCCCAATAGCTTCATTTTGTGAATACCTAGAGTTCCTGATACATAAAAAAATTTTTTGGAAAATAAAAAAAAATTACAAATTTTTGAAAAATTAATTTTTAGATACAATAGTTCTGAATAGAGTTCCTGCTTCCTTTCAACGATACGAAGAGTTCTCTGTACTTTTTAACTCGAGATTCCCTTAACAACAATTTTTTAACAATTTTTTAAAAATGGGGTGCTAACTTTTTATCGAAATTCGAGCTCGAATAGTTCTGAGCAACTTAATAGCTTTATTTTGTGAATACCTAGAGTTCCTAATACATAAAAAACAATTTTGACATACAATAAAATTTATTTTTTAAAAATTTAAAAATTTTGAAAAAATTTTTATATACAATAGTTCTGTCACATGTTAATTGTTATTCTGTCTATTTCGAAGAGTTCTAAGCGATTAAAATCAACACAGACCCAAAAATAAAAGAGATATATACTTAACACAAAATTTGAAAAATTGGTTGCAAAAGCACTTATCTCTTTATGTAACCATCCAATCGCATTTTCACGTAATACTTTTCGTTAGGGCTCATCGAGAACTGCCCAGAATGTCAGTCAGAACTACTCAGTACTCTCAAAAAATTTGCGACGTCGGACTTAGAAAATTTTCAATGATAGAGTTCAAATGTTCCCATATCTCGAAAACCGTTGGCTCAATCGCTTTTTCACCTCATATTTTTTAGCGCCATTATAATGTTTAAAATGAGGATTTTTTCAATATGGTGCGATTTTGACAACGAGAAAATTTGTTGCTTATAAATCGCATTACTTTCTTACGAGTTATTAAGAACTACATTATACTGTAATGCTACTCTGTTATACTCGTGAAAAGTATGAGGTGAAAAAGCGATTGGGCCAATGGTTTTCGAGATATGGGAACATTTGAACTCTATCATTGAAAATTTTCTAAGTCCGACGTCGAAAATTTTTTGAGAGTACTGAGTAGTTCTGACTGGCATTCTGGGCAGTTCTCGATGAGCCCTAACGAAAAGTATTAGGTGAAAATGCGATTGGATGGTTACATAAAGAGATATGTGCTTTTGCAACCAATTTTTCAAATTTTGTTTTAAGTACATATCTCTTTTATTTTTGGGTCTGTATTGATTTTAATCGCCTAGAACTCTTCGAAATAGACAGAATGACTATTAACATGTGACAGAACTATTGTATATAAAAATTTTTTCAAAATTTTTAAATTTAAAAAAAATAAATTTTGTTGTATGTCAAAATTGTTTTTTATGTATTAGGAACTCTAGGTATATACAAAATAAAGCTATTAAGCTGCTCAGAACTATTCGAGCTCGAATTTCGATAAAAAGTTAGCACTTCATTTAAAAAAAAATTGTTTAAAAATTGTTATTAAGGGAATCTCGAGTTAAAAAGTACAGAGAACTCTTCGTATCGTTGAAAGGAAGCAGGAACTCTATTCAGAACTATTGTATCTAAAAATTGATTTTTTAAAAATTTGTAATTTTTATTTTCCAAAAAATTTTTTTATGTATCAGAAACTCTAGGTATTCACAAAATGAAGCTATTGGGCCGCTCAGAACTATTGGATCTCGATTTTCGATAAGAAGTTAGCACCCCATTTTTAAAATTTATTTAAAAATAGTTATTAAGCAGAACTCTTGTTATAAATTATATAGAGGTCTTTGTCTCGTCAAAAAGAAACGGGAACTCTAATCAGAACTCCTGAGTACTATAGTTGGGGTGCTAACTTCACATACCCTTTTTCTTTAAACATTTATATCCTTCGCGACATTGATTTCTTTCTTAATTGGTTGAACTTCCTCGCCAACGATGTTTTCAACAATCTGTTTTAGAGGTTCGACGATGGTCTTAAAGTGCGTTTCCAATGCTATATCTTCTTCTATTTAACCAGTTTTCAAAGCGCGATATTTTTTACGAATCGAATCACTCGTTTGTGTGATCTATTCCGCTACCCTCTCACGATCCTTCAGCTATCCATGTTATAATCAAGGGGGAATGTTGCATAGTTTATAGTTGACGTATCGACAACGACTAACCACGTTACGATATCACAAAGTCGTAGACTATATTTAATTGTTTTTGAAAATTTAGAGTAGAAGATACTGAATTTAAGATATTTACCTTCACAAAAATACATAGCGGATATTGAAAACTGATGCTAAGCAATATCACGTTGTACATTACCATGCTAATAACTTGGAGAAAACGGTATCTATTGTCTGCAAAGTGTTCTTTAAAACGCAAAATATAATTCAATTAATTACCATTGAGATATCTCAGCAAGTAGGCTAGAAAACTGATTTTCCTCGCTATCCCGCTTTGTTCCCAGTTTCTCCTGTGTTTTGTTTTTTTATACCAATTGACCTCATTATTTTGTGCATAAAAATAATAATAATTATCAAAAAATTAATAATTTACGAGATATTTAATATTTTATGTCAATGAATCATGTGTCAGTAAAATAACTAAAAGCTATTCATTTTTCGATATCTATACTTTAATACTTTTATATCTTAGAATAATTGGAGGAATTATATTACGTAAAAAAACTATCGATTGAGCGTATGTAGAACTTGATCGGTTCAGCCGTTATTGAGATCCAATAATCTCTATCCCCCGCAATTTGTGGTCTCGCATAAAAGAGCATGGTAGTGTCGCTGTGCTTGGCTTAGTGTCGATGAGACACTATCGTGTTTTCTGATTATGGGTACGGTCAACGCGATGCTGCAAACGCTTTGAAGCGTTTTTTAATTGGTCAGTTTGTAAAATTCTTTCTTCTATTAGTCCATCAAATGCTTCAAAGCATTTGTAGCGAGACTTTGACCACAGCTTTCATTTAAAAAACCTAGGTTAATCTCGAAATTTTTTAAACGTTTTTACTTATAAAAAAATTTATATGTAATGACCGTCTCAAAGCAACTTTTGTACATAACAATTTTTTGTACAACTTATAATTTACAAGTTCTTCGAGATGTGCAAATTATAGTGACCCGCCTTGTATTTACTTCTATACTATTATATGTTACAGTGTATACGGGGTGTTTAGAAAATAATGATAAATCTTTCGCATAGGAGCACAATGGATTAAACTGAGAAGAAAAGTCTTCTACTATTTTGCAATTTTTGCAATAGTTAATAAGATATTAATTACTAAAAATTACCGAAAATTGGTCTTCAATAATTTTTTACTCAAATACTATCAACTTTACAGAAAAACTTCAAAAGACAAAAATTGTTTATTTTCTTCTCATAGAGCTCTAAGAATTCTTTTAGAATTATTTCAGAATTTTTTAATACTGTTTAATACTTAATTATGTTAAAAATGAGAAAATGCAGTACTAAAAAGTTGATAAAAAATTCTGAAAAAATTCGTAGAATTTTATGAAAAAGAAATAAACAATTTTCGTCTATCAGTTTTTCTGTAAAGTTGATAGTATTTGAGTAAAAAATTATTGAAGATCAATTTTCGGCAATTTTTAGCAATTAATATCTTGTTAATTATTACGAAAATTGCAAAATGATAAAGGACTTGTCTTCTCAGTCCATTCTACCTCTAAGCGAAAGATTTATCATTATTTTCCAAACACCCTGTATAATGTTACAATGTATATGCTTTTACGCAAATAACGAATTTTGAAAATAACAAATTTTTGTCATAGGGAGAGGTGATTTATGTCCTGAAACAGGTTAACATGGGTCCGGCGCAGATCTGCAGCTTCGTGATCGGCGATGCGTGCGATGATACTTTTAATCCATTGCATGAATGGGAGGTGGCCTTTCCACCGGTTAAAAAGCCGCCGATCAAGCCGCCGATCCCGCCACAGGAAGGCGCGCCGACATTCAAGGTCCTGCACATTTCTGACACGCACTACGATCCATATTATCATGAGGGTGCGAATGCAGAGTGCAAGGAGCCGCTCTGCTGTCGGCTAACAAACGGCGCTCCGTTGACTACCTTTGCCGCTGCCGGACGATGGGGCGATTATAGAAAATGCGATACACCGAAGAGAACGATCGATCATATGCTTAAGCACATCGCCGACACACATTCGGTGAGTAGCACATGCGATTAAAGCCTATTCTATAGGTTTGTTCGCGTTGTATGCTCCAACATGTTCCAATATGCTCCTATTATAGTTCCTACTCACTCTAATGAACGTGAGTAAGAGCTATGATAGGAGCATGTTGGAACATATTGGAGCATACAACGCGAACAAACCTATGCGTAATTGTAAGTGCGGTTGTAGTTGTAAGAATTGATCAATCACAATCAAATGTACTCGTATGATATATGTTACGTGCACTATAGGTTTTCAACATTGGCAATGAATATCGGAACGCACTAACCTAGGCTTAGAGTATATCTACACTGTTAGAAATGTTCTTAAATTTCATTAACTTTTAATGTACATTGGTGAATGAAGTTTAATTTCTCTGTAACTGAAAGGACTATTAATG